ACTAGATATAGTTTATTCACTGGTACTAGATTTGAAAAAAGCTTACAAACTTCACTTTCACTTCCTGTCTTTGCTGTTACACTTGCCTCATTCTATCACCACACTGAATTCCTCTCATCTTCCACATCATTTCCAGGGGAATCTTGAGGGAAACTAATCTGTCTTCCCTTGAAAGCATATGGACAATCCCAATGCCCCCAACTCCATTCCATCCTTTTGAAATGTGTTTCTTTTTGGCATAATAGAACAAAATACTATTCGGATTTTAAAATCTAAATTCTGGCTCCTTGTACCATAAACTACAAACAATTCAGTCACATGTGTTTTAGACATCTACCTTAACTACAAGAATTTGTATTTGCTTGGTCCTTTGTCATTTATTGTCACCACTGTCCTGGAACTCATACAAGGCGCATTATACTTTTATAGCAACTAATTACAGAGAGGCCAAACAATACAGCCAAGAACCCACAGGTATAACATGCCATATTACCTCATCTGAGATTCTGTTACTGGAGTGTGTTATGCTCCCGAGTTTATGTGAATGAACTGGTAATTTCCCATGTCCTTCACGGACTGTATTTTTATTTTTGCTTGTTACATTTTCTCCTAGAATGAAAACAGGCATAAACATCTGACCATGTAATTCGGATCCTTCTAACGGTTCCTTACATATTACTAAGTTAGAAGCTATTTGTTCCAATAGTTCTAAGTACTGCCCATCTCTTCAAAAGTTACCTCTTTCTATTTGTCAAGAGAGACTGCTGACCTGTTACAGAAAGTTATTTTCTACTTAAAACCAATTCAAAACATAAAAATTCTCTAGTGGTAATAAATATTTTTCTGCTTTTGTACTCAGTTTTCTCTCTTGCTAAGAATCTCTTTCCCTAACAAATGCCACTCTTACAGAAGTCAGGAGGGCTCTTGCTTCAGTGTCTCCTACAAAGAACAAACAGTCCAAAGCTGGAAAGTGAGACTTAATATTAAATGATTTGGGCCACAGGACCAATTTAAAAGCTCGTGTGTCTAAAATGACACATAACCTCTCTTACTTGTAATTAATTTATACATGGGGTTAGCCATGCTGACATATACCAAGGAACTACACATACATAGATTTAAAAAAAATATATCCTATGAGCAATCCTGAAGGGGTCAAAGAGCACTCAAAGTAGGGGCATTCAGTTCACAGTAACTTGTATAATTTAATACACTAAAACAAGGACAGAGAGCTTGGGAGTACATATAGGATGTTGTTTTACGATTTTCTTCATTTTGACGGTATTGCTTTCCTGTCTTCAGGAGGGAAGATTTTGACTTCAAAAGTAACAAAATATTTCAGAAGGGAATTTACATCTTTCAGTTCTAAATAGTACTCTTGGGCAATTTTCTCAGCAGTCCACGTTTCTGGAGAAAGTTTATGATTATTGAGAAGTGTCAATGCTTCTACAACAGAAATTTTGCCTTTGGGAATGTCCATGACATTCTTGTCCAAGTGATGTCCGATGGGAAGTCTGAATTCCTTCGGTTTTTGCTGTAGTTCACCATCTTTTACCTAGTACCAAAAAAAAGGGCTTTAGGATAAAAGATTTACATCTCCCATGAGTCTGAAGTCTACACTGTTTCTTTTCAAATAAATTCATACACACTTCCTCAAACTGTATTTTCTCACTGTAGTTCTCTTTTCCTAACTATAGCTTACTCTAAGAAATGCTCTGTAAAATTGTAACTGAATGCATGTCATGTACTCACCTCCACTGAGCATTATTAATCTCAAAATGTGAGATACAAATGTTCTAAAATCTAAAACTTCTGAACTCCACCATAATGCCCCAAGTAGAAAATTTCACATCTAACTTCCGTGATGATCAGCAGTCAAAATGCAAGTACACTAAGAATAACCCCTCAACTTGCCTTCAGGCTTTGTAAGTTGTATATGACATATAAATGAATTTCATGATTAAAATTGGAAACTACCACAAAGATGCTTCGTAATGTACATACAAATATTTTAAAGTCAGATCTGTACAACTTCTGGTCCTAAGCAGCTCGGGTAAGGAAACCTCAGCTTGTATCTTAAATGAATGAGAGTTGATTAAGGTGGCCCTGTTTCAGAAGAGCGGCATCCTAACAATGCTGTAATAGCTTACTTGAAAACTTTTCCATCCTTCTCTCACTGATGAACTGTTACCTCGATGTCAGATGAAACCAACCTTTTCTTCTCCCAGTTGCCCTGGTCAGTCTTATCACAGCTCATCACCTAAGCCGGTCCAAGCATTCCCTTTCTCTTTTCATTTTCAACTGCACCTGCCAACACACCTCTTGGCCGACATATAAAATTGTATCTTCACTACCTTTTTAAAACTTGCCAACCCAAAGCCTCTGTAAATTCTCCTGTAACTAGAGTTAAAGCTGAAATGATAAATCCGCCCTAATGGCCCCAGCTGCTTTGTTCAGAGGCACTCTTCAGAAGTCACTTGAACTAACTACAGCAGCTCACCATACCTGACTCAAACTGTCGACTCTAATGCACAAATCTACCTCGAACTGCCAAGGCCCTGCCCCTCAGCTTCCTTGCTATGTATTCCCCAGTTTTCCATCCATACTTCCAGGTTTCTTCCATTTTCCTAGTGGCTCTTGTCCCCTCTGCTGCTCATTAAGTTCCAACTACATTTCCTTTGTCATGTATGCCGGGCTGGCCTTGAATTTCTGGATCTTCACTCACTCCCTACCTCACATTTTGGCCCACATGTAACGATATCAAAATCTGTGGCTCCAAACCAAGACCTTTCTTTGGGTATTTAAGCCCCAAATCCCTAACGGGCATCGCTACTTGGACCTGTATACACCTCAACTTCAGAGTGTCTAATACTGAACCTACCAATCTACCTGCTTCCAAGTCCATGTTTAAAACTCTGTACCTAATCTTGATACCATTCTCTAATCCTCTGTACCACTAAACCACCCTAGACCATGCCAGGGCCATGTGAAGGAACTATTAAAAGACATCTAGCAGGTTTCTTCTAACTAGATAATTTTGTTTCCTCCTAACTCACTCTCAAATCTAACAGCACTTTTTCCCCACATTAAACTCTTCAATGACTCTCCAAAGCCGTTCTGATATGACTATATCTGCTTGGCATGCACTTTCATGATCCAGCTGTAATCCAAATCCTTCACTTTCCCCTAGCCACGTACGCTCTAACCAGTCTCCAGACCACCACCCATTCCACTTTCATATTCCCACCTGAGACTCCCACTGTGGGTACCTTTGACTCCCTAAACCTCAAAGTATCTCTCATCTTCCAAAGCCAGCAGATCCACCTCCACTCCATACATACCAGATTTTTCTTTTCCCTTCAGCATTTTGTATTAAAAAAAAAATTTTTGATGAAATTGAACATCCTCTCTTCATTTAGTAGAAAGGCAGAGAATTACAAATTCCACATAGAGATACAAAAAAAAAAAAAAAAAATTAAGAAAAAAAAACTGAAAAACTAATTCCTAGCAGAAATAATAACTAGCAATATAGGGTTAGCTACAAAATAAAAATCACTCATTTTCCAATATATTTAAATTAGGGGATGAAATTTCTACTTAATGGAAACAATTTTCCACTCTTCCTCAAAGACTCAACAATTAAAGGATGTTAATCTTTTTCTAGTTAACCTATGAATCCTAATCTAACTACAGTCCAATCTAAACAAGGCTTACTAAAGACACTGACAGTGTGATTCCAAGTTCATTTAGAGAAGAAGAGACAAGGAGCTTTTTAGGTCTTAACAGTAACCAGGATGTATTACAGAGCCCTATTAAATGAGGCAGTAAGCGTCTAGTGGTAAGGAGCAAAAGCAAATAGCACCACTAAGTCTATAAAGAGAAGAAGGGAAAGGAATTAGTAAATAAATTACACAGTTAGGTGACTGGCATATATTTGAAGAGGTTAAACTGATCTCTTCTACTAAACTCTTATACTAAACACCAAGTAAATATCTTTACAGAAAATCACAAAAACACATGCTCAGCATAAATGAGAAATAGTATTTCTAAGTACTGCTCAGTGTTAGCTTAAAAATAACATACTATCGCCCTGAATCAATGCATCTTTAAGTGAGAATCTGGTGATTACTAAATCCTACAGTCACTATTAAATTATGGGTATTATATAAGTAACTGTAATTTGTAGTCTTTTGCCTACTATTTAGCAGTACAAAATATTTTAGAATGCAAAAAACTTTGAAAGATGTGGTTGGCACTTCTCCATCACTTAATCTAACTCTGTACCTTAACCACGATTGTCGTCTCCCTGATTCCAATTTCAATTCACACTCCAGGCCCAGGTTTAAATGTCACTTCCTCCGGCAGTCCCTACTCCCCCGGGGCCTGGAAGAACACTGCAGTTGTATAGCTGCTCATTCACTTAATGTCGGTGGCCCACAGTATCCCAGGCCTCAGAGAGTAAGACCACGGGCGGTTCTGACCACTACACATAAACACTTATGCCTGACATATGTGCCATGCCTACCATTCCAGCATATCATATGAACTGACATATAATATTTACATATCCTGTCCGGATACACCCGTAAAGACACAAACATGTCCCCACAAACGCCTAAACAGAAGCTGTCGTTAAGGTAAGATCACCTCAACCTATAGACATGAAAAGGGCTCTGAAGCCATCTTTTGTCACTCAGCTGACACTAAAGTTCCTTAACCAACCCTACAACTTCTGCGATCAACCTTTCACACCGGTGCATTTAATCAATCCCTGCTGGCATTCCCTAGTATCCAGTGAGCCAGGCCCTGCGCTCAGTGGCTGTGCTCCCCACTGGCACTTCCTCCCTCCTCCCCCCCCACACACACACACTTTGCACTGTCACCCGGCTGCCCCGTTCTTCTTGATCACTTCCTCAGACCTCCAACATGAACCGCTGGCTTAATAACGCATACGTTACCGGCAAGGAGGACACCGGGTCTTTGGAATCGACATAGACGTCTTTTAGTAACAACAGCAGCTCGTTATCTTTTCTAGAAACTTCTTCTTTGATTTCTGGATGCTCTAAGGAAAGAAAAGAAGGCCATCGTTTTTATTTTTTTTTTTTTTAAAGGAAATCGTCTCGAAACCCGTAAACGCGTAGGACGATTTTAAACTTTTTCAAAAGAAAGAATCCTCTGGACAGCCAGGAGAGGGGGCACCCGGCGAGGCCAGGGGGGCGCGCGCGGCCCCGAGCGCCGGGACTGCCAGGCGCCGCCACCGCGCCCGCGGGGACGACCTCAATGTCACGGGAGGCCCGGGAGGGGCGGCACTCACGGCTCAGCTGCTCGCGCAGGAGGCTGCGGGTGGACGGGTGCTTGGGCGCCGTGGAGGGCTTCATCCTGCTGAGCTCCCGCTCCGCCCGGTTCTCCAGGTTGAAGTTCCTGAAGGCGCGGGACACGCGAGCCCCCATCTCTACATCGCGAGGCCCGCGGCTCCCCGCGCACGTGGGGGCGGCGCTGGCGCCGGCGCGGGTGACCTCTGTGCGCACGGAGCATGCGCGCGCCCGGGGTCAGG